GGTTCCAGAAAAATACTTCGTTATAAGCCATCTTCGTTAAAGTGAGAGTTCGTTAAAGTGAATGTCACTGTGTATATTAATATTACTATGTCTACTCTATTACTAGGTAGTGAGCAAAGTGCAACAGAAAAAACAATTGGTTACAGTATTATCACGAGATAAATGGATATAATAAAACAGCAAAATTGGGATAATCAATGACGTAGGTGGTATAGAAAAATGCTATTATAATTGATATATACAATATTTGTTGCAGCAACATTAAAATCGCTACAGCAGTAAGAAAGAGCGATGCACAATGTTACAAGGAAGACGTTATTCAAACAATGAGGGCGTGATGTATGACGTTCACACACACACTCTACCGCCTAACACTTAAGCAACAAACGCGTAATAAAAGAAAAAGCATTACTATGTCTACTCTACTCTATGTACACACTGCCAACGTCCGAATCACAAGGTTACTTGTAGTGCTCACAAAGGAATTTATGACGCGGTGTTTCGCTCGCCAAACGCACGCCAAATAGCACCTGCAAAAATTCTTATGTTCACAAACGCTTTCCCCCCGAGTATTAATTGGCTTCATACGCTGAATCTCAATAATACGGAAGACAATAAAATAACAAGACTGTCAGCGGCGAACAAAATTTATTCTGGTTTATTTTGATTTTATGATAGTTATAATGCCTTTTACGTAGGTGGTTCAAAAAGTTCTTGCTTCACGTTTTACGCTATGACAACGTAAGACTAGCCTTGAGGTTCTGATCTTCAAACTTTATTTGCTTTAAACAGATAATTGCAATATTAATGAAATGTTGTAGACCTAAGCACTAACATGAGGCACAGTTAACAACTGGTTAAAACTTTCAGGGATGATAGAGAACTGTTTGGAGGATGATGACCCTTGACCCAGAAGGCGGATATCCATAATATGGTTAATAAAGATCCTTATAAAATATATAACAGCAAGTTAGCTTTAGTTTAATTGACTTCAATCTTCTTTTGTCGAAGATACAGCAATTGCCTGTATTTAGATTGCTTAGTATTAGACCAATTTCCACGTGATTAAACTTTTTTTTTGCCATTTCAATCAGGATACTCGTCCAATCATGTATTTCATTCAAGTCACAATGATAACTATTCTTCCGCGGCCAACTTCCATTGCTTCTCGCGTATTCTGTAACCTATTCAGGTACTCGACCGCGGTTTCACAATCAGCAACACAACCAGGTAACAAGTGCCGACAGGACATAGTCACTTCCTTTTGACATACATTAAATTTAGAGTAGGTTCGTAATTATTTTGGGTGGTTTGATGCTTTTCGTCTTTACTAGTCCGATTACCGAGGTTTCTTGATGCAATCAGTTTAACACTGCCATTATAAACTCATGTACCCACCTGATCTTACTCCCTTTCTCCATCTCGTTCACTTTCAATCCAAAAATTTGCTGTTAAACTATAAACATCCTCTACCCGACTAGAGCCTAAAAAACGCTCGGCATCCTCGGTTCCCGCGGGAACTATTCTAAAAGGCCTGAATTTTATGGTAAAAGGCAAAGATCCAATAGCATTGCCAGATGAGGAATATCCGGAGTGGTTATGGGAACTGTTGGACGAGGAGAAAATGGCTGAGGTGTACAAGGATCCTTATTCCAAGAAATCCTTAAGAAAGGAGAGAAAGATAACGATAAAAAATTCCAATTTTGATAAAGATAAAAAGAAATAAGCACTAAATCTTAATTACCTTTTCGGGTAAGATTTTATGCGATCAATTAAAAATATTGAGATCGTTGTGTTGAACTTACAGATAGACTGAATTATTTTATCAAAATTGGCATAATATTACAACCAGCAGTGGATCAAATTCATCAGCACTTGAAACCTTGTATCTTTTAATACAGTTGTATGCTTTTTCCTGTTCTGTCAAGATATCCAATTTCAATTCATAAGTATTTGTCATACTAATAAATTCTCCATGCCAAAGGTCGGTGCCTGGGCTTGTTCTAATGTGATATTAATATAGTAATAGGAGATTTGTGTATAATCATGTGATTAAAATTATACATATTAATATTTGACTAGTATTACTAAATTTTCTACTTATTATGCTGTACTGACGATATATTTAACCTAACTCCAAAATGTTTTGCTGTTGTTTCAATTGGGACTCTTAACCTTAAGTGCAGTGGGGTAATTGGAATCTGTACAGATTCCAATTACCCCACTTAGATTGGACTATAACTACCCCGAAAATGACGTGCGTTTTGCTTTTCTTGCGTCAAAGATGGGATATTTATAGTCCGCTCATCAGGTGACGTGTACCGCATAAAATTTTTAATAAAAACATAATCGTGCAAATGCTATTGATTATGATATTAATATCGCTATGAGTTTTCTTTAAGCAATTCTGATTTTTCTGCCATTTTCTTTAGCCTTTTTCGCCAATCCTGTCTCAAGGCCCGATATTTACCAGCGTGTATTATACGTGCATCATATTTAGAAAAAGTTAACTTACCACACTTTTTACATGGCGTAAACATAGGAGAATTCCTGTGAGCATGACAGTCTTCAACTTCATGTTCCTCGTTGTATACTTCTTCGCCATTACCATCAAATAGATCAATCATATCTATGCCAAATTCTTTAACAATATATACCGCATAGAATATTTAATAGAAAAATTAATGCAATCCGGACATGCTATCTGGTTATGCTATCAATTAATGCTACCAAATATGTATGCTATGTATATCACGTAAATGCCATCGATAATGCTATCATGTATATGCTATCAAAAAATGCTATCAAGTACGTTATACTAAAGTATACCAATTTTGTTTGCCAGAATTGTTAACACCAGAAATATATCTGAGAACATACGTAGTAAAAGGCGGGTTAACTTTGATCAATAATTATAGGAAGGCAGGTATATAACTCCCATAATTATTATATAATATTACCGAAGTTATATACCCCAAAAAATATCCAAAAATATACCCAAAAATATATCAAATAGTATAATATACTGAACTTATACACTCGAAGACATATCATTAAGATGGGTAGATATCTACCCCCGAAAAAGATGTAGTGTTCTGCTATTTTTCATAATTACAATATACACATATATTGCCTACACAAATAAAAACGCACAAAAATAAATTATACTGTAAATGCATTTAAAGTTTCGAGTTTACTTAATAAGACCAAATTCTCGAAGATGCTCTGGAATAACTACATATGGGTCTTTGTAATACCAAACATACCTTAAAACGATCCAATTTTCTTCACACAATTCTTTCTTGAGTTGATCCCGTGCCTGCTGTTTAATGAAATTATTTGATTCTCCTCTATGAAAGAATTCTATATAATGGTCGTGTTGCTCACCTTGCACTTCAATCGCAAATCCGTATTCTGGATAATAAATATCAAGTTGAAGACCTCGGGGATGTTCAAAAGTTTTAAGAAAATCAGGTTGACGTATATTAATATTGGATGGGACCAAGATATTTAGAAATGATTTCACGACATAATTTTTCATGCTTAAAATATTGACAGTATGGACACCATGTATTATGATTTTTTATACTACTAAGGGATGCACACCATATATGTGATTTATTACATTGCCATAATAATGGAGTTACTATTACATTGTTAGTGTATTGGTTAGAGAGACATTTTCCTTCTTTATTATATGCAATTTGTTTAGCATATTCAATAGTAAGACGATTATCAGCACAACATGGACACCATTTATCATAATTTTTTATATTGCTAAGAGATGCATACCAGGTATGAAATTTATTACATTGCCATAATAATAGTGATTTATTCTTAATATATTTTTCTGAAAGACATTGCCCACCACGGGATTCAGCAATAGCACATGCATCATTTAAAGATAATTTTTTCATTATAATAAATTCATTTTAATAAAGATTATTTTTCCAATATGAAATCATAACTAATAAAAACCAATTCTATATTCAGTATAAATAGAATATAAAGTATCTACTGGATATGGATAGCTTCTTAATAGAAGTGGCGAGTAGGATGTACTTATACTTATATTGTTGTATTAATAAATAACGGAAAAATAATTATCTGATTGTCAAACCTTGGCTTATTCATCTAATTCAGGGGAGTGTCCCAACCGAGTCTAACTGCTAGAGGATCATCGATAGCCTTAGTAAAATCAAAGATTACAAAATTTCGATCCCGTAAATGTTTATCAATTATTTTGGATGCTTTTTTCGGATCATCTGTGTATTGACGTACGATTCTACTAATATCATCTCTACTACCCGAACCCCGAAATAGGCATAAATGTGAGATATTTTCGCGAATAATTTTAGGAGTTTGGGTATATTTCTGGCTTACATATATGGGTGAGACATTTTGATGCCGGCCACTAATAAAGTAAGGAATAATTCGTTCTTGCACTTTTTTGGGTTCGGCACATAGATCCTCAAAAACAATAACTGTACTTCGTTCCGGAGAGAATTTAGTTATATCTGGAATCTTATCTGGTAATATCCATTTAAATGTAACATCTTCTCGATATGGTTTTGGAGCATTTGCAAAGATCTGATAGCTATTTTGTACAAGTTGCCATTTTGGTTCAAAATGTTTGGCTACTAATCTGAGATCATCATTTCTAATATACCGATCACCTTTTTTTCCATTGAACATGCAATGTAATTTGTCACCAAGCATGAGATTTATGCCCATGTTAGTTTTTCCGCCATTTGAGCTTCCATTTATAAGCATCCTAAATGGGCAGTCTGGCGAATACTTATTACCCTTCATTCGTTCTGATGACTTTTTAGATGTCTCATTGATATTATATATATATATATATGGGCATGCCTTTATCTTTCATTCTAAGCAAGATAAGTAATATTTATTCTTTATACGATAAATAACCTTTCTTTTGCAATTCACTTTTTATATATGGTAATAAATCACAAGTGTACGGAATTTCAATGAGATCTATGCCTTCTCTTTTACATATTTCCCGCTTTTTTTGATCGCCCATCAGGAGTTAAACCCATTGTTTCAGTTTTTACTTTATCTTTGGATTGTTTTCAATTATTATTATCAAGTATTTCAGCAGAATGTTGAAGTGAAGCTTTATCCAAAGTTCCATTTGGTTTTAAAAGATTACTAACAAAGATAGCTTTTCTTCTGGTTTAAGGACTCCTCCATAATAATTGGAGTATTCCTTTGCTTCATCTATTGTATTTATATTAATATTATCTTTTTTGAATGCCATAATTTTAATTCCTATATTAATATTATTATATTTTAATATTAAAAAATTAAATATAAAGAAGTTAATATAACAAACAAAATTAATAAAGTAATAAAATTTGTGGTTGACTGAAATATTTTATTCATTATCAGGATAGATTGGTTTGGGACAAGTAATATCCTTGAATTCATCCCTAATGAATGGGCGAATATTATGATAAAGATATTCTTGTCT